CGTTAGGTCACTCTTTTGGCCGGCCCGTTATGTCCCGGGTCGGTCTTCCCCAATCAGACTTCAACTCCTTGTCTCGTTTCGGGTCATTTTCGTTCTCCATAACAAGTACTTTGACTTTTATTTTACCTATGTAACGCCCAACATGAATATTGTATAATTAATATTTTAGATATGGAAAATATTTTTAATGAAGAAACTAAATACGTTACGTTGATTAGGTACGTTTCGACTAAAAGATCGTGAGTTTGATTTTCGCCCGTTGTCGGTACTAAAATCAAACCCCGCACTCTTAAGGTTTAATTAAGAATTTTAAAATATCAGCATTCTAAAATTTGATAAAAGAAGATATTATATCTCAAGCAAAAATAGGCAGGACCTTTGACTTTTTTAGTTTCCAAATTTTAGCTTAGATTTCAAAAGGATTTTTTAAAAGATCAGAATAATAGAATAAATAAACACAAACTATTTTAGCTCTTATGAAAATAAAAAAGAGTCTTGAACCCTTTCACACGCTCATATCATATTGAGGTATTTGTAGAAGAAAAAATTACAAAATTCAATCCAATTTATCGAATAATCAATTTGTTAACACGCTAGTTAACCTATTCTAAAGCACTAAAAAAAATCATTTTACCTATCCAAATTATGTAACGAGCCATAAAAGCATCCAACAAATTAAGAAAGAAAAAAAAATACACTATCAATTAAAAATTAAAAACAAATTAATTATCAAACGAGATGGTATATTTTTAGTCTTTTTTTTTAATATTAACCAAGAATGAGTTGATCCCTCCAAAATAAAAATTAAGAAAAAATCAGAACATAATGAAAAAATTATACATAAAATGTTAGGGACCAACTGGTGGAGTATACTATCCCATAAAAACTAAATTAGGTCCCTCTCTCTAGTGACTACCCTTAGGCTATAGTAATTCAAATAATTAGGTAGAGATTAAACACGTAATTTTTACATGAGGCAAATTAAGCCTATGTTCGAACTTAAAAAAAAAAGATAGAGAAGTTATTAAGGAAAGATTAATTAAGTTGAGAAGTTATGTATTCATTCTTTCTTTTTCTCAACTAGCAAGTTTTTATAAATCAAAATTTGGTTTCATTATTCGTAAACGTTGTAAGAACAATACTATTCTATAATTAATACGTTGTAAGAACAATACTATTCTATAATAAGAACATTAAGTATATTTTTACGATCAAACATGAACATACTAACAATTAAAATATTTTACTTATATTGAACAAATTAATTAGATATTTACAAATACAAATATTCAAATTCACGATCTTTGAATTGAAAATAGATAATTTATATAACCTTTTAAAAAACGAAAATCAAACTTATAGACCATGAATATATGAGTGGTTGAAAATTCTCTCCCCACGGGAAAAGCTGTAAAAGAAAACGACAAATTTAAATTTATGATATCTTGATTTTGCTTTCATTTCACTGACCAATTATTGTGGAGTGAGGGAGAGATAAGGTTTATATTGGGTGGCTGGAAATTATTCTGCGCTTAAAATTCAAATGACCCAAATTTCCAATTTCTCTCTCATTCTTCCCGTTGCCTTGAGAAATGTGCATATCATTGAATTTGCCCAATATTCGAAAATGAATAATACTTAAATAATTACTCAACTCAACCTTCATCTTTTGCTGACATCTCTTGTCTGTTTGATTCATCATTTCCATTCTATTTATTGTTTTTGCTGAATATGTATTTAGAGCATTTGTCCGATTACTTTTTAAAATTATTTTCGAATTACGTAATTCAAACATTAGAAATTTATAAAATAATAATTATACAAATATTAATTAATCTTATGTTTTATTAAACTAAATATTCAGTTGGTACCTACCCTCACTTTACAAATTAGTTGCTAAACGCATTGAATAATTTTTTAAAACTTATTCAATTTCTGTCAAACGTTTATCTAAAAACATTGAAACAAATAATACTAACTCTATTTTTATTAAATCTCTTATTTTTAGATTTCTTTTTGTTAATCAAAACCCCCTAAATTTTGTTGACGAGAGAAATAGATATATTTATTTTTCAAAAAATTGTTAAGCTTTTATAGGCGGTCAGTATGAAGATTTATACAAAATAATAAGCATTTAAATATTTTCTTTGAAGATTAAACTTTTGTGGTATGTGAACTACTCTGGAAGGAGAAATCGAAACCAAGTAAAGTGACTATGGATATTCTTTTTCTCTCTATTTCCCTCTCTCTATTCTCTCTTCTTCTTGCCTTTAGCTTTCTATTTCGATCTCGTCGCCAGAACCTCCCGCCGAGCCCACTTTTTTCTCTTCCAATAGTAGGCCATCTTCATCTCGTCAAACATCCCGTCCACCAAACATTTCATGAACTTTCACACAAGTATGGTCATGTCTTCTCTCTTCGATTCGGCTCACGTGTCGTTGTTGTTGTATCATCCCCTTCCGCCGTGCAAGAATGCTTTACAAAGAATGATATCGTTCTCGCAAATCGGCCATTGTTGAAGAGTGGCAAGCTTCTAGCATACAACCATACCACCATGGCAGTGGCCCCTTACGGCGAACATTGGCGAAACCTTCGCCGCATCGGCACCCTCGAGATTTTCTCGACAACCCGACTAAATATGTTCTTGGGAATTAGAGAAGATGAAGTAAGGAATTTGATGCTTAAATTATGTGAGAATTCATTTGAAGAATTCACGGCAGTGGAGCTGGAGCCAATGCTGTTCGATCTTACTTTCAATATTGTTATGAGAATGGTGGCTGGAAAGAAGTATTATGAGGAGCAACAATCTAAGAAATTTAGAGAGATGGTGACACAAGTTTTGGCACATGTTGGGGCAACAAATCCAGGAGATTTCATACCCATATGGAATTGGATTGATCCAACTGGCTTTGAGAAGAGGATAATTAAGCTTGGACAAAGATCAGATGAACTCCTTCAAGAACTAATTGATGAGATTCGAAATCAAGAAGGTGGAGACAACACCATGATTGACCATTTACTTTGCTTGCAGAAGAATGAGCCTGAATATTATAGTGACCAAATTATCAAAGGCCTGATACAAGTATGTTACTCTCTCTAGCTAGCTCTTGATTTCCACCATTTTTAGTACTAGCAAAGAGATGCTCGATTCTCGCAGGTTATATTATTAGCGGGGATTGACACAGCCGCTGTGACTTTAGAATGGGCACTTTCTCGATTGCTCAACAATCCAGAGGTATTGGAGAAAGCGAAAGCTGAAATAGATTGTTTCGTTGGGCAAGAACGTCTGGTTAATGAAGCTGATCTGTCAAGTTTGATTTACCTGCAAGGAATAATCTGGGAGACTTTGCGGTTGAACCCAGCAGCTCCTCTCCTTATCCCGCACTGCGCATCTGCAGACTGCAAAATAGGAGGATATGATGTACCACGTGACACGATTATATTGATTAATATTTGGGCTATACACAGAGATCCAAATCTATGGGAGGATGCTACCAATTTTAAGCCAGAAAGACATGGAAATACAATTGGAGTTGACTCTTACAAACTATTACCATTTGGGTCGGGGAGGAGATCCTGTCCTGGCGTGGGAATGGCACAACGAGTGGTTGGTCTGACTTTGGCATCATTGATACAAGGCTTTGAATGGGAAAGAATGAGCAACTCATTAGTTGATATGACTGAAGGTAAAGGGCTCACTATGCCCAAAGCTCAACATTTGGTAGCCAAGTGTAAACCACGCCCAATCATGAAACTTATTCTCAATGAAGCAATAATCACTTAGGTTGAAAAGCAAGTCGTTGATGTCATAAGTCAAACAGGCAGGTGTGAGAGTTCTTCACTGCACTCATGGAAGAAAAGGGATCGTCTCCGATCTCTACTTGGTTAGTCTTATCTTCTTATTAATTTAGTAGCCGAAGTATAAGTTGGATTTGACGATATTTGAAAATTGATAAATGGTAGATTAATTAATTTCCTTCTTTCATTTTATCATTATGTACATCGCTTATGTGGATGGAGAAATTTTAGATCTTCCAGAGCTTTCGAATTTCCTAACTCAACAAATAGTATTGGCAACTTCAAACCTCTTTTATTTTTTAGGACATTTATGAGTAAACCACATTTTTGGGACATTTAGCTAACCAAATTTTTTTGGACATTTGGAGCCACCCAACTTTTTTTTTTTTTGGAAAGTGTATCATCGAGGCAACCAATATTCTAAGAGTTCAAGACATATCGAGACAACCTATATTTTGGGACATCTTAAGGCAACCAATTTTTAGAACATATCAAGGTACGTAACTAATATTTTGGGACATATGGAGGCAACCTCTTTGAGACATTTTGAGGGCACCTATTTTTAGAGACATTTCAAGGCAACATTTGGAGAGACGTTTTGAGGCAACATATATTTCAAGAAAATTTCAAAGCAATATAAGGGAACCTATAATATTATAGGAAATTTTGAGGGAACCAATCTTCTAGAACATTTGAAGGCATCCAATATTTTATAAGATCTCATGGCAACCACTTATATTTTGAGATATATTGAGGCAACCAGTTTTATATAGTCTATAATCAAAGCAACCCAAACATGAGGAAAATCTGAGACTACCAATATTATGGTACGGTCTCTACATCAAGATAACCAATATTTCGAAAAAAATCCATACATCGAGAAAATGAATATTTCGTGACACGTAACTACAATCAATATTTTGAAACAATCCATATATTTAAGCAACCAATATTTTAGGGTATAATTGATATATCAGGCATTCGAGACAACCATTATACTAAATCATGTAGACCCTAATCTATAATGAAAGATTAATGAGAAAAAAGATGGTAAATTTTACACTTTTAACATATTACCAAGCAACCAATCAATCCAACTGATGAGGCCATGAGCAAGAGCTATTTAAAGGGAGAAAAAAAACACCAAGCATATGTACAAGTAATAGATAACAAAATAAAGAAACATATATATAAAAATAATTGTTTATAAGCTTAATTTTTAAAAAACAAAAATGGAAAAACTAATAGTTAACAAAGACATAAACTATTAATTTTTTAATTTGAATAAGTGATGCAATTTATGTTTCATCAAAATTAAACTAGAAAATTGTTTATGAACCAATAATTAACAAATCATTCAAAATTTAATTAATAAAACACTAAAAATTATGTTACAGAAATAATGCATGAAAATTCTTCAACCTAGCCACAAACTAAACACGTAAAAAATACTCAAAACTTAAAACTCAATACTCAAATCCAACTAATTAATTCAAAGCATCCAATACAATTATAATAATCAATACCCACAAAAATAATAGCGTCTAATTATTAGAACGTTGATAGCCAATCACAAATGTTTAAAAAATTAAAATCTTAACCAACTGAGGGTATTAATTATTGCATTAATTATTTGAATATAGGATTTTAATTGCACTACTCATTATTTAACAGTATTTTTAAGTTAATAAAATTAAAAATTTCTAGTTAAAATTGACTCAGTATAAATATAAAAGTATTTTTGTTTAATACAATTCAAATGCATAGAAGGTGAGAACTCGAACTCAAGTTGCTAACATGGAGGTTGAGATTTTGAACTAACAACATGAACAAGAGTTGCTGATTTTTTCTTTTAACGAATATTACATTAACTAGTTGAGTCTTATGCTCGACACAATATCTTAATAAATTCAACATTTATTTTATTATATATCTTGTTTTTAATAGTTGTACGAGTAAATTACGATGAATGTTATAGGTATATTAGACAAATGTCAATATTTTTATTATTACTATTTTTTACTTTGAAAGTCACAAACTTGACTTCTTTTTCCTTCTCAGGTAATCTTTCTTTTCTTTTTTCTTTTTATTTTTTTATTTTTTTTAATTCAAATCAAACTGCACTATTTATGTAAAATTTTAAACTTGTTTCTATAATTAAAAATACATATTTTTATTTGGTCTAATTGCCCTAGTTTTAAATGTATAACTAACCATAATTTTTTAATTATGAAATTAATAATAACTCTAAATAATCTACAAACACATTCTCAAATGATGAAAATATAGATACAGCCGTATTTTCCATTCAAAAAAAGACCCTAAAACTGTTGATTTGATTTCTAAAGAACAGTTTAAATTTCATTTTTGTGTTAAATATTCAATATTATTCTATTTTAGTATTTGGACTATTAAAAGGTCCATTCCAGTCCTTAAATTTTTTAAAAGCACTCTAAACAAATAAGAAGTAGAAAACAAAGGAATCATTAATTTTTGTTCCATCAAGTTAACGYTAGACTTCGTTTCAAAAAGAAAAAAAGTTAAAGCTCGACTTGAAGTGATTCTCTATCCAATTTGTCGTTTTTATTGTTCGATATATAAAAATGATAGCTGAAGTCCCTAAATTTTGAAATAAAAAACAAATTTTGTCCTTTTAACTTTATTTTGTTTTCAACAAATAGATAACCTGTAAACATATTAACATGGTCAGCATGTAATGAAGTTTTTTCCTTTTTCGAATAAATGTAATTTTTTGAAATAAAAAATAGATAATGTGAATACGGATACCAACATGATCAACATGTAATGAAGTCTTTTCCTTTTTTAATCAAATGTAATATAGTCATATAATCGACAAAATAATTATATAGTTATTTAAGTTTAAAGCCTAAAATAAACCTTTTAAGGATTTGCTGTTATTTTTTAAAATTAAGAAACTAAAACAAACACTTTCAAAATTCAAAACAACAAAATGAAACAAATTCTCAATCAATTCTCAATTTCGCCGTCAATATTTTAAAATTCTCAAATTTACTATTAATATATTAAAACTTATAAATTAGGATCATTCCATTAATTTAAAGAAGTTATTAACAAAAAATTAGTGTATCGTTGAATTATTATTTTAATCTAATTCAATCTAATTTGTTGATTATCAAAACTCAACAGTAGCTCAATAAAATCTATTTTTTCCAACTAACATAATCTAATTATGTTAATAATTAATAAACAATAATTTAACACCAAATACGTGTTTTTTTACTAAAGGACCTAATAAAAAACAATTAATATATCCAAGGAAAAATTGGGAATTTTGATTAGAGGTCCAAATTGAAGAAGAAAATGAAGGGGAAAAAATATTAAAGGCCGTAGAACCAAACAGCTTCTCAATAAAGTACTGACTTTCCCTCGCTTTGTTTAAAATGAGTCATTCCCCAAAAAACAAAAACTGCTAATTTTTTATGTTGAAGAAGAAACCGATCAGCAATCCATCCTCCGTCTTCTTCCCTCTCCGATCCCATTCGCTCCGTTGACCTCCGCCGTTCGCCGCCCATTCCCTTCTCGCCGGAGCCACCGGACTCTCCATGGCGCTCCAATCGAATCTCCTCCCTGCAATTGCCTTCCATTTCATCCTCCTCATGCATTCCACTTTCTCCGCCGATCCCATCGCCGCCAATCTTCTCCTCACCCCTCCCCATCGCGCCATGGTCTTGCCTCTTTACCTCTCTTCCCCTAATTCCTCCAGATTGATCTCCAAGCCTCGCCGCCATCTCCGGGAATCAAATTCCTACAATCTCTCCAACGCTCGCATGCGGCTCTACGACGACCTCCTCCTCAATGGGTGTGTTCCCCTGTTTAGAGGTCTAATGATTTTGATTTGTTTCTGATAAAATGTGTGTTGTTTAAGGTATTATACGACGCGGCTATGGATCGGGACTCCGCCGCAGCAGTTCGCGCTCATAGTTGATACCGGGAGTTCGGTTACCTATGTTCCGTGCGCAAATTGCGAACAATGTGGGAGGCACCAGGTTAAAATGTTTAGAAATTAATGATCGTAGGACCGTTTATACGGTCTTAATATTCTTATTAGATCATCTGCTCTGTTTTCCTGTAATTCAATTACCTTTCAATATATCCCTTATCGTTCTTATTTGACTGGCCTCTATAAATACCGATATGGAATTTGGTAATCTAATACATC